TGGCTTTCAAGTCTTACTTAGTCTCTCCTGCAGATGACTTCGCGTTCTTCTTAATTCCTGTCTCGATTTATCGCCAGACAACATGAGCATGAAGCTGCGATTCCTCCGATACCTTGAGCAAATCCCTATAGATGCAAATGACGATGATCTGCTGCCTCTAAGTGGCAAGCTTGAGTATCAATCGATTATTGGAAGCCTCACATATAGAATGCAGGGCACTCGGCCTGATCTAGCGTATCCTGTATCGCTATTAAGTCGATTTCTGGCCAGGCCAAAGGCTATCCATATGGGTATAGCTAAAGGGGTCCTTCGATATATCCGCAGAACGCTCAGTTATAGCCTCAAATTCTCCAGAATAGGGAATTCAGAGCCTATCTTCTATACGGATTCAGACTTCGCGGGCCCTACTCTGCAAGATGGGATGAAATCAACCTCTGGCTACGTAGGATACCTTGCTGGCGCGCCAATCATTTGGTCCTCAAAGCGTCAAACAGCAACTGCGACCTCTAGCACAGAAGCAGAGTATATCGGCCAATTTAACGCCATGAAGCATATGGTCCATATCGGTCACTTTCTGACGGAACTCTCTATCCCCTATAGCACTCCAATGACGCTATTTGCGGACAACCAGGGCGCTCAAGCAACTGCACGAAATCCGGAGTACTACAGCAGGCTCAAGCACGTTGCTATAGCATACCACTATCAAAGAGAGCTAGTAGAAGAAGGACTTATCCAGCTAGAGCACATTCCGACGGAGGATATGGCCGCCGACGGCCTCACAAAGCCACTTCCGAGAGTCAAATTCAATCGGTTCATAGAACTGCTGCAGCTCAACACCAAGCCAGCTATCTAGAATCCGAAAAGGGTAATCCCCAGACCTCGTACGACCACGGCAACTTGCACAGCAGAAAGGAGACGCTCTTTCCTATTTTTCCCACAGGGTTTTCTAGGTTTTATCGAGGCTCTTGCTGACAAAACAGAAAGCTCATCCCTTGATACTCTATACAGAGTCCCAAAAGGGTAATTCAGAATGCTACAATGCTCCCTGAGAGGGAGTGTCAGAACCCCTGCGTATATGATACGTATCTGTTACGTATTAGCATGATGGTACAAGGGTCCCCGCATGCAAAACGCACGAAACGCTCTTGTAACCGAATTGAACGCCAAATGCTGTTTCTGAGCTGTTGCAGTAATGCGCTTCCATAGCTATTAGTGTGAGCAAATGCTCCTCTTGATAGGAGTAACTCAATCAATTCAATTGGTATCTCCGTACGCTATTTGCTACATCCTCTAACAGGAACCGGTGCGTCTTGGTCGTGATTCTTCAAATACTTTTCTTAAATGAACGACGAGCTTCGCCCAGGGTTCAATTGACTCGGCGAAGGATCAATAAGCTTTGGATCCGAGTACAACGGTATCAGGCAGAAGCAATGTTAGCTCAAAGCGAGTAACTTGGAGGCGGAACATGATGAGGTGGATGAACTGAATCCTATTACTCTCTGCAGAACATATCTAAGAAGGGGGGCAGGCCAATCAACTGCGGTGCGCAGGCGGTCACGTGATGCTTATGGGTCACGTGTTGCCAAGACCAAGATGTGGCTGTACTAGTACGTACACGTAAATACGGCCAACTCCAACAGAATAGGTACCGAATGTAGCCACTAATACTGTAAAAACTAAGCGGCATCAATCAAAGTGATTGTACGGAGAACCCTGTATGGATGATCACAAAAGAGGCTTCTGCAAGAAAGTGTGGCGATGTATTAGTACTAGTCGTTCTTAGCACCGTGCTAACATCACTTCTGCCTGATACTCCGTACCGTAGTAGTTAAAGCGGCCCCCGGGGTTGACTTGTTTGCTTCATGTATTAAACTTCAACCTCGTGGATTTCTATCATATCTCGAATATCCACAGTTGCTGCTTTACTAGAACATTGACCATGCGCTCAGCAAGCTATGATCTGGCGACATCCCCACCGCAATAGTTACCGAGCGGCAACAGCCCGCAACAGCTACCATGGCTCTACGCCGGATTTGTGGGCCTCGACTCTCACCTCGACTAATCCAAAAGCAGTTATTCACCCAGGTTGCAGTGAACAACTCCAACTCAGCAGTGTCATTAGAGGGATACCGACAGTCCAGCAGTGGCGACCCACATACCAATGTGATGGAAGACCTGCAAGGTCACTTCTTAAAAGCGCGAGTACTGACCAACATGGGCATTGTTGACGCACTTCGGAAATGGTACCCAAACCACACAGTGACACAGACGCCTGAGTCGACGGGCCTTTTGAAATTTGCAAAAGCTGGCCAGGCTAATGCAACGCTGGATACCAATATCGATTTCTATGGATCGCGATTTTACAAGCCAGCTACAGATCCTGCGAGGCAAAGCGGACGTTTAAAGGATAAGGTGGAGCTCGGAAGGTATAGCTATCGCTGGAAGGACCGGGACTTTCACGTTTATCTCGCGGATTACTGGGAAGGTGAGTATGTCAATATCAACAATTACTACATCCTCTATCCTCGGAGCCATGAAGACGTCAAGGATGGTCGATCCCAAATGGCTGACGAACTTATTTCCGCTGCTTCTCGGCATTTGTCTGACATAGAGGAAGAAATATGGGTGTACGACCGAGGATATTGGACGAAAAGTCATAAGCTGTGGCTGAATGTGCAATCATGCAAATGGGAGAACGTGGTCCTCAACGAAGAGATGAAGACCCAACTCATCAGCGATATTGAAGGCTTTTTTGACCGCAAGGAAGACTATGCATCATTTGCAGTACCATGGAAGGTAAGCCAAACTCGATCATCCAAGCTGCTTGGATCGCCTGTCCTTTGGATACCGCCTATCACACATCATTGTCCTCTGCACGTCCCCAGCATGATTATTTTGTCTTCGATCTTTATGTTTATTATTTTACTACGTGTTATTGTCCTGTCTTGCCCATTTTGGTCCATAGAGACACATTGTGCAGGTATCTAGGTCGATGACTAGTGAGGTCAGGCAATCTTTCAATTTGACCGTGACGAGTGGTTCAGTCTCTCCGGAACCAATCATGGGCTAATCTTTATAGCGTGGAATAATTCTTCATGGCCTTCCTGGAAACGGCAAGACAATCTCCATCAAAGCCCTGATGCGCTCCCTTGCCCTCCGTCCCAAGCCCATACCCACACTATACGTCAAGTCTCTGGGCAAGACCTGCGATCAGGATAATATTCGTGCTATCTTTGAAAAAGCTCGGGAGGCAGCCCCCTGCCTTCTGGTGTTCGAGGATATTGACAGCCTTGTGTCGGACCATGTCAAGAGCTTTTTTCTCAATGAAGTAGATGGCTTGGAGGGCAACGACGGTATCATGATGATTGGGAGCACCAACTATCGTATGTAGGCTCGTCAACGTTCTGAGGCCAACTTGAAGCACTTACTTACAACTCCTTTAGTGGACCGATTAGATGCAGGAATCTCCAAGCGTCCAAGTCGATTCGACCGAAAGTATCACTTCGCACTTCCTGCGATACCAGAGAGGATTCAATACTGCGAGTACTGGAGGTTGCTGCCCACTATTCCTAGCTCTTGTTGTGCGCCTTGCTTATATACACATGTAGATCAAAGCTGTTGGACAACACGTCTATCGGATTACCCACCCACATATCATCCGCAATCGCTGATATCACCGAAGGTTTCAGCTTCGCCTATCTCCAAGAAGCTATTGTTACCGCCTTGCTATCGATCGTTCAGACACAAAGAGCGAGTCATGCCAAAGCAACCACTCTGGAAATGTCTGAAAGTAAATCGAATGATCTCAGATCGAACGAAGTATGGCAGGCCATTAGCAAACAAGTCCAAATTCTACGCAAAGAAATGAAGGATAGCCGAAAAAGCGTAGAAGATGCAGGGAAGAACAGCGTCCTTGCTGATCCTCGTTCAGGCTCTGCTGCCTCGACTGGCTTTGCACCTGCAAGATAGGTCGGAAACGTGATGGGTGAGGTTCTTCTTTTCTGGGAAATACGCTCTGCTCCTTTGTAACACCACCTCTGCGTACATCACTTTTGTACAACACCCCTCTTACGTACAAACACCTCCTGCAACAACTCATCACGTCGTGTAAAAGATCACCTACTGTATAAACTCACCTCGCCTCCAGAATAACACTTATACACTTACTCTAACCAGTACGAATCGCATTCGCTCCCAGTTATGAAGTACAACCAATTGGGCAAAAATGAAATCCACTCGCACCCCTGCAACCCATCCTCACATCTCTGAAGGATAGATTGCCACCCCTCAACCTTGTCCATCCCCTCATACACCTTAGCCCCATAGTCCTCCACTTAACAAAGAAACATGGCAGCTCTCCTTCTCCATCAAGATCTTCATTCCTCGTAGCCAACCCCCTCTTCGTCGAGGTTATTTATGCCAGGCACAAGAATCGAGTTCTCAGTCCCAGTTCAACCGAACGTATACATACAAGATTACGCTTGCCTGTTTCCCAGTGCCTCGACCAAGGTTGGACAGGTCCTCAAGCGATGGAAACCCTCTTCTCCAACCTCCCTAGCAGCTCCCTATTGGACGGAATCGTGACTCCACTCAAGCCCACCGGGTGACTGGCACTACACGTCTCCACCTGACCTCCTGAAATCGAAGTACCACCCAAACAAAGAGTATAATAGTATGGTATGTGCTTTCGCCTCCATTCAATTTGACATATTGTACACCATCTTTCCGATCTGAGCGCGCAAAGGAGGATGTAGGCGGGCGAAACGACATTCAAAAGCAGAGGCGTAGGACTTCCGAGGACACTACACCACCCGTGGAGACATGTCGCTCAGAGTGACATAAGTAGAAGGATTCCGCTTTACGTAGGCCACCTCGCATCCCGGATCCCAGGTCTAATCTATGTATGTAGTACGTAGTAGATACATGCGCAAGCCTCTCGCTGGCTCTAGCGTCATAAGACCATGGCTCCAGTCTCTTAACTTTCCGGCATAACTTCTCAGATGCATCATCTCATCCGCACATTTGCAATGGTGACGACTGCGGTTTGCGAGGTGAGTGGTCTCGGCCCCAGCACACATGCACTTCGCTGGCAGAGTCAAAGAGGCCATCAACTGATACATCGGCTCGAGCTGTGGGCGCGGCGACGGGAAGGCCTCGCTGATCAGCAGGCTTTCTGCTATCGTCTCGAGAAGGTACAGAGTCAATGATTGTTGATCAAGCCATCAGCTAGTATCCATCAAATCAAATAAACCGAATCATGACCCCCGTTTGACTTTCTTATATCTTATCCCAGAGGTCGATTTGATTTGACTTGACTTGGTCAAATGGAGTCTAATGTTAGTACTACGGTAGGAGGCATAAGTAGTGTGAATTCGCCCTAGTAATCTTGTTATTTAACGCCCCTAACCCCAGGCGTCTAACGCGTTCAGCTTCTCCTTCTACTATTCTATCTCCCAGAACTGCTCGAATCATCATCGCCAGCGAGATGTCAGGCAGTCATTGAAGCCAGTGAGATGCATACTCAATTTGGGTACATAATGAGCTAGTCCTAATCGAGCGGTTTTGTGGCGTTCTACCTTGGCATTTACAAGCCATTACTAGAGTGCACTAACGATACTTATGGCTCCTACCTTCAATTGTAGTAGTAAGCAAATGTTTTGTTAGGAGGACTGTCAAGGATTTTCATCTCACAAACAGAGTCCGCCAAGACTTTCATCATTTCATCAAAAATAATCCCGGATATTTCTGTCAAGACTTCCATTTGACCAATTTCTCGAATTTCAAAGTCTTGGTTTGATTTAACGAGAGCACTGATCTGGTTTATTATTTGACTCAACTTGATTCAAATGGACACACTGCAAGCTTTTCTATGTGTCCAGGCCCTCGACAAGCTTATATTTGTCTCTCACCATGAGACAACTGAGTACAGAGTGATAGCTAGGCGCAAGAATTCGTCTTTCTACTGATAGACGTCCCATAATGATAGTCAGTAAGCCCTTCTCGGCTTATCCGCTTGGCCCATGCTGCTGCTTCGCGAAGCTTCTCGGGATGAGAGTGTCCTGCTCCTCCGGGAACACCAGACAGAGTTGAATACATTCTGATCTATGTGTTCGGCAGTTCATTGACGGCGTGGAGATTCCTTCATTCTCCCGAGTCAGTTTTCCGAAGCAAGGACGTCCGTTAGCGTAGCAGGTGCAGATGCCTATTTCTCTGATGCCACATAATATGTACTGGTTTAGCTAAGTAAGTAGCCACCGAAAACAAGCTTGGCTCCATCAGAAGCATCCCGCTTGACGTGGGAGCGGTAACCTCGACTTCATCGTGCGATTCGTCCCTCCAGCGCTCGCGAAGCACACCGCAGGTGAATTGTCAAATATTTGGGTCGCACAGCCTTGAGGCTTGTATCTCCCACGCAAACTTCTGTGTCAATCCCCATTACTGGATCGTTCATTCAACGTCTCTGCATTTCACATGTTCGAAGGGGCATGCGGCCGTTGTATCCTGATCGTGATCTCGCCTATGCTGTTCCTGTAGTAGACGAAGTTGTTTTGTCTGACTGAATGAATCCGAAGGTGCCGACGGATTCACAACTAAGTGTGGTCATGGCATCCTCAACTGTCTCCGTGCTGCTCTCCTTGCTGCTCGGGCAAGCTTATCGAACGTCCCTGTTAGCGCAACCGTGAATGATCCGAGTCAATGACCGGTCGGCGCGATTTGAACACATCCACACGAGATGGTTCCCGCGCAGTTTGACATTGATAGTGGCAGCACGGAATTCCCAAGTCATGTTCCCTCAAAAAGGCCCTGGCACATTTGCAGAATTGCTTGAAGCATTCGGCGATACAGTAGCAGCCGACTATCCCTGCCACCGAGTGCGGCCGTGGTGAAATCTGGGACATTGCAGAAAGAGGTATAAACTGAATCAGAAGTTCGGTCTTCGTTTCCTGCCAGTGTATTTCGAAGTAGCCTTGACAACCTTGCCTTTATTCTGCATCTGCTCTTTCTTCTTCAGAATCCACTGTTTGCTCCCCTTGACCTCTTTACCTCTCTTTCTCTTGCCCTGTAGTTCTCGAGCAGCCCTCCGATTATCCTCAACAACGACGTCCTCCATCCCCGCCACTGCTCGCGTCACATCTCCGCCTCCAACATGCAACAAGAGATAGATCTTTGCATTCTTCGTCCCACCATCATCTTCCAGTATTCCAGCCCCGAACCCAGCACGAGTCGCCGCCGTCGTGATCATGTTCCGCTGCTGGTCATTCTTCGGGTAGAATTGACACACAGCCTTCCCGCCCCTGTGTAAGCTGGCATACAGCGAGTCGAAGAATCGCCTCAGCCGTCCCTCTGGGCTGACGTTCGATGTATCCGCATTGCACAACCACTGTATCGCACTGATGGATATTGCCGCATCGAACGTCCCCGGCCGGAATGGAACACCCTGTCCAATATCGCTGAGGAACAGATCTCCATCGACTCCATCGCGTTGCAACGCGATATCAAGCATGCTGGGGGAGATGTCGAGACCGATCCAGCTGTGTTCTTCTCCAGTCAGAATTTCGCCGGAAAGACCGGAACCACAGCCAATGTCGAGGATGAAGGATGGCTCCCGGAGAGAGAGAAGTTCTAGGGCGCGATGCGTCATGGATGCTTGAATGTTCTGAATGCGGGAGGAGGTGGTGTACTTTGCGGATTCGGTGTCATTGTAGTAGAGGTCGGGAGGCCTGTAAGCAAGAGGTAAGGCTAGTTGTCCTTCAGACAGCGGGAGGAGTGTACCTACAGGGAATCTTCGGGGCGAGACATGGTGGCAGTACTTCAGATATGGGGCCGAGAGCCCTTGCGGCCTTGAGAGGAGGTGAGTTCTTCACCGCTCCATGGTGCTCAGAAACAATTAATACAAAGACTGTTTGCTGTGGGGTCCTTGGCGCTGTCATGCTCCACTGGCAGCCATAGGGCTGAACGCAGGGGCCCATCGGCCTGTTGTTCCAACAGCTCACAACTATGTATTCTCTCGAACTACACCGACAGACAGAGCATTCTCTCACCATGAGACACGACAGCTACACCAGCAAGACCCGGATTGACCTCATCCCAATATAACACCATACCCCCCTCCATCGCCTCATCCGGACAGCCTCACAATGTACATCCTCCCTGTCCTAGGCTACCTCGGCCTTATCCTCGGCTTCTGCTTCCTCACCCTCTCCATAGCATCGGGCCTCTACTACCTCTCCGAGCTCGTCGAGGAGCATTCCGTCCTCTCCGCGCGCCTCCTGCGCAGTCTCATCTACATCATCATCGGCGTACAGACTCTCCTCTGGCTCGTGGATGGGTTCCCCTTCCCCCTGACAGCCCTGGGCATCGCATCGCATGCCGTCTATGCGAGCAACCTGCGACATTTCCCCATCGTCAAACTACGGGATCCGCTGTTCATTCTCAGCTGTGTGTTGGTGCTGATCAATCATTGGGTGTGGTTTCAGCATTTTTCGCAACCGGCGCCATATAGGAATCGTGGGAGCAACCTGGGGAATCGATTTCGGGATCGATACCAGACTGCGGTGCCGCAGCCAAGCTTTACGGAGATCGCATCGTATTTCGGATTGTGTGTATGGCTGGTCCCATTTGCCTTGTTTGTGAGCTTGAGCGCAGGAGAGAATGTGCTACCGAGCATGGGTTCGGAGTATGCTACAGGCGAGAGAAATGGGACCGTGGGACAGAGAAGAAAGCGAAGGAACACTGGAATGGCTAAAGCTGCCGTGGATGGGGTGAGAGAGTGGGTGGGTGAAACAGGGGCTGTTATGGGACTCTGGCATGGAGAAAATGTAAGAAGATTTCAGTGAAGGATGGACGTGGACATCCCAGATCAGTCCTCATATTCCGTGATCTTCTTACTTCCAAACTGCGTGGTTTCCAATGCCAATCGCGCCATCACCACCAGTTATTCGCAACATGCCAGGTATACCTTGCTGGTGCAAGGGTAGCAGGTGAGAGGGTCGACAGGCTCGGTTCATCAACCTGACATATCCAGTCCCGGTTCAGAAGAAAGACATCACGACTTGCGGTGCTTACTTCGAAAGTGTCCGTCGCCATGACGCCTGATGCTGGAGAGACACCATTGATCTGCGCCTTCGACTCGTTGGCGGAGGCCACGTACAATCTGGTTTTGTTATCCGAAGTCAAGCGCCTCACGGCAGACTTGAAGGGATGCGTCCACAATGCAAGGGCATTGTCACGAGTCGTTGAGCTAGCTACGGTGTTGTGCCCTCCAGAAGGGTTCTTCGTTCACCGAGTCGTACTTAGGTTGACTCGTGTATTTGACAGGAGGAAGTAGAAGTCCGAGCGTCGGGAGGAAGCCAACAACTACAGCTGACACCGGACCAGGCACGGTACTGTTGGAGAACATACTGGGGAAGATACCGAAGGTGCTCTCAACTATCAACCAGATGGCCATCCCCGGTGGACTTGGCTGGTTGTGACCAGAAGTTGTGCTTGCCATCTTGGCGCCACAGACACTTGCAACGCAGATGCAGATAGTTGCCATGCCGAAAATACCCGTTGAACACAGCTTACGAGCAAGGTGGGGCATCAGGCGTGGGAGAACGGGTATCGGAAAGGGAATGACCTGATGTGTTAACAAGATAACGGTCATGGAATGGCCTGACTCACTCATGAGATCTGTGGAAACATCCATGGCATAAGCATAGTATGTGACAATGGCACTGCGTCGGTAGTCGGACGTCGTGCTGCACGAGGCTTGAGACAAGTCAGCAGACCTGTGTCAGGCAGACCCTGGCGACAGAGATCGTACAGAAAGTGAGGTACTTCTGCAAGCTCTCAGATGGGGTCAAGTAAGCTGCCATCACGGAAATGTAAGAGGCAACTACGAAGGCCACGATGCACCGCCAGATTACGGTGTAAGTCCGCTGCTGTTCGACAAGTCGCTTGTACTGCACGAGCAATACAATCTTGACGCCCCACTGACAAGAATAGAATAGCAGCTCATTGGCAAAGAAGACTCTGTAGATCAGCTCGGCGTCCTCTTGCAACCCGTATAGGGAGGCTGTCGACCAGCAAACACAGGCGTCGCTTTGAAGCTCGTTGGTGCAGTTGCAATGAACATGCTGCTAACGACCATCATGCAAGCCCAGGCGACTGTAATGGAATTTTTTCTCCACCTGCTAGCCGCTATACAGTGTTCAGCAGACTTTCGTCAGTTGGTGGAGTGTTGCAGTCGGCCAACAAGGAAATGTCTGAGTCACATTGACCGTCCCCTCCGTCACAGAGACCACACAGACCACACCGGCGCCAGACGACATTTCATTGTACAACGTTTTGAATGACGGGGTCCAAGGCGCTGAAAGCACACCTCCAGCCAACATCGACCCCAGAACCCCATCCACATCAGCAAGTCAAGTGCGTCACTAGAGGAAGGTTACGGAGTATTCATATAGCAGATCTCCGAGGACCACTCACGACAAGGGATCCTGATTACACTGCCATACATTTAGGTCGAGGCAGGCTGGACATAATTGTGCCAACGCTATGGGTTAGTTCTTGAACCAATAGCAGCGCATGACCCGCGTCGTGACAGAAGGTACCAGAGTGTACTTACGTAGTACGGTATTCTGGTCCTGCTCCGGCTGAAAACTCGTACCAAAATTGAAAAGGCTCCATTTCACAAACCGGAAGCGAGATTTTGTCAACTTGAGTAAAGACCGGGGTTGTTCGGTCGATTCAGAAGCTTTAAACTAAAGTGGTTTCAACTCCGCTCAGCGCTCTGATGGTTCTGTCGCCTTACCCCCCTCTTTCGGTGTGCAGAGTAATCCTCGTTCCGTGTGGAAGTGAAGAGGGGGGATTAATTCATTTTGGAGTGAGATGCTCCCTCAAGAGTGTGACAGAATATGAGAGAAAGGATTGATACCCCTTTTCGCCCCCTGCTTTCTGTTAGAGATCTCAAGTTAGAAGCTGCCTTCTTGTGCACTACAATATTTGATAGATCAGGCTTGCCCATTCTCGTTTGGACGACAGAGTCATCAGCTTCAGAATCGGTTGCACAAAGCTGATAGTCAAACCGCTGCCAATCACGCAGTAGCATCTGTGCCTGACAATGAAGCTTTCGCATTGATCTCCTTTGGACCGCCTGCACCCTTTCGAGTAAGTATAGATCTTGGCATGATGCCTGTGGCTAGCTACTAGTTAGTAGGCAAGGAAAGTTGGTATACTTCGATACCGGGCAGAAATACTATTAGCTAGTGCTTTGGTGAAAGAACGGACCTCACAGAAGATGTCCAGTCGACTTGGCGGTGCCATCTGGGCCTGTATGTGTGGACCGGAGCCGTGTTCAAGAGAAGCTCCGGGGTAATGCTGTACTTAGCACAGTATCAAACTAAACGTTCCTAGTAACTCTCAACAGCATTCATGTCCCTCACCGTAGTACTACATAGTACATCTGGTAAATGGACCTTCGGATCTGAGAAGGCAATACTACGTATGTTGTAGTCAGGTACGAACAGATTGTATTAACTGGCCGACACTCTATAAAACAGCCGCTTTTGATAGTGGGGAGTCAGTCGACGAGGTTCACAACAAGTTTGCCGTATCTACGCCGTACATACAGCTCATAGCATCGGCTTCCTCCCACAGGAGACGTTGCAAGTCTTGTTGAAAGATGCAGCTAACCAGGCTGTCTGACGTCAGATTCCAGCTGCTTGGTCAATTCTCCAATGCCCAAATGCCGGTGTCGCTGTCTCTTCTCTCCGGCAGGCTCTCAGGAGTGGGTGGTGGTAGGTTTGCCCCTTTGACACACAACCAGCAGCTTGCGTACATATTCACCATATCCGTATAAGTTCCGGGCCGCCGTTCGGTAGCAATCGTCGCCTGGAAGCCCAGCTCCTCGAACAACTTGAGGTACCAAGGCTTTAATGCCGCGGAGCGAAGCAGAACTCTGCCTCCCGGCACAAGAGCACGATTCAAGGCGCGGATCTGCGTTGCAGCGGTAGGTTGATCGGACGGAGAGAACCAATCCATGCTATCCATGATGACCGCAATGGTGAGAGATGAGGCTCGCATGGAGCTAAGAACACTGATGATGGGAGAGGTATGGATTCGAACAATATCGTAAAGCGAGTTATCGCGATAAGAGGCATGGGCTTCTTCGGAAAGGTACTCTGGGTGACAGCTGCGAACGTCAGCACTTGCAACTCTAAGAAGAGTATCATCACCAACATCTTTGTATATTGGCCTCTCAAACACAACGAGTAAAAGTAGTTTTCGTTGTTCAGCAGAGAATGCTCAACCACAGGATCTAAAGTGTCCATCATATAGTCCCAAACTGCCTGGCCGCATGCGGTAGGGGTGGCATTTGTCGAGCCTACCTTGCGCAGGTAATCATCAACAATCATATCCCTCTGAGCAGGTGGCACCCCGAGAGCTTTCCACAGAAACGCCGAATGACGAATGACCGCCCGATGTAAGATGCGACTAAGCAAGATCCGACGGAGACTCCTATGCCAGATGGCTCGTTGCTCTTTGATTGTTCCACAAGAACAAAGTCGTTGCACTTCTGTCCTAAGGCCGGCCAACATGAACAGGTACTTGGCTAACCGCACAGCGTGGCGAGATGCACCCGTCTCGTATAGACCGCACCCTAGCCGTGAAGTAAAGGTGCTCGCGTTGGCGATCCAGAACTGAAAGGCTTGTGAGCTAAGATGTGGACTCATCTGTTCCAGCAATAGTCTTCGAAAGTTGGGATGTCTGCCCAAGCCGAAGAGCTGCCATATGTCCTCGTACCCGAGAGAGGCGAACGCCGCAATCTTCAATTCAAGGAGATGATTTTGCGTGGGATTTAGATCGACAGCATGGATTCGACGTGGTTTGCATAACGCATAGGAAAGAATGTTGTCACCTGCGCTAGTAATTGCGAGGATGGTGTCATCTGAGGTGATCTTGAGTAATTTCTTGTCGACGGTTGGATCTTCCCACGTAAAAGCATAGATGTACTCGTTCTGGAACTGTGTATGTTGTTGGTGATGTTCGTCATAGTGCAGGCGGCACGAGTGATTCTGGTAAAAGGCAGAGGGTAGCGGCAGTGACAAGGACAGATTTAGAAGGCCGGCTGCTGCTCTCGTGGACTGCTTGGTCGTCGCATCTAACCATTCCGTAACGTGCACATCAGGGGATTCAACTTTTCCCTCAGCTGTCTCGGGTACTTTTTGACAGCCAATCCAGGTGTAATAGGGTATGCCGCCCAAGTAATAGTGTCTTTTGTTGTAGTTTAGGATCGTACCAAATCGATACTCGAGATAGTCGCGACGGGCTGGCTCCAAGGCAACACGGTCAAACTCAAACCAGCTTCTCCAGAATGCCCGGCCAAACCAATTGACATGTCTGTCAAATGAGCCGCCTCCGTAGTTCCTCCAACTAATGTCGACGACATTCTGCACATAAAAGTCGACGACGGACAGGATACCTGATGGAGCTAGAAGGGCTGGAATGGAGTCTATGACTGAGTGGAAATCTGGAATCATAGACAGAGCATACGACATGGTCACGAGTGATGCTTTGACACTGTTGCTTCTCTTGATATTAGTGTTGGGAGAAGGCTCGACGGTATCAGAGATGGCCGTTTCGTGGTTCTCCAGCCGGAACAGCCTGGCATCTTGACATATGATGCGCACGTTCTTCCAACCGAGTCGGGAGAACCGACGACGGGCAATTTTACAAAGGGACGGGGAGAAATCCACTAAATAAATCCGAGAGAAGTAGTTCGGCACGTCAATAAATTGTCTCATTGCTTCAACGTTGTAACCGGTCCCACCACCAATCTGGGTGGGTAAGTTCAGCCGAATAACATATTTGGACAAGGCTCTCTTACGTCGACCCATATGCGACCCTTGGGCATATCTTCCACACTTTCCCGAAACTTGAGTTGAGCAGCAGCTAGAGACAACATGTCTTCGCGTCCTTTTAGCAACCTCGCGCGCGTCACATCATAGCTGTCTGCTTGAGTGCTGTAGAAGCTTTCGAGGGCGCCCCGTTGACCATCGATCGAGACAGTAGTATGCGGCTTTAGGAATGATGCATAGAAGAAGCTCCAGTAGGGGACAAGATGTTCGGAGGCAGCCTTGAGGATGGCAGTCGAGGGGAGGCCGAGTAGTTGGAGGACGGAGACGAGGATGCCATTGCAGCAAGTCACTACGGCGAGCACAATGGCGAGAGCTCTGTTGAGAAAAGGCATCTTGTAGGACGCTTCCCAAGATAAGCAGTGCCCCTTGTGAAGCTTGCCGCCTCAGCTACATCGTGGTGGACATCTGTGCGTCTTTAAGCCTTGCTGGCTGGTGCCCCATGCAAGATCTATCCAACCCCACCTCCCAGGACCGGCGTCTATCCTCACGCAGCCCCATGGTGCGGCATTGGAATTTGCATATGTTGAGGGACATATTATTGGTATGGCGGCCAGCGAAGATCGTTAAGGCTTGTGCTTTGCTTGAAGCTACGCAAAGACCAAGGGTGATAAGCACTCTCGCCCAGGCTCTGTCGAGATGGGATGCTCCTGAACTTGCACGTTGACAGCGAGTGAAAGCGGCATGTGGGCAAGGAGGTTGGGATGATACGGTCGAGACTGGATGGGGTAGGGTTGTTGTAGTGGTAAGTAGTCCATTGTAGGGCGAGGCATAAAATTGTGGTGGATCATGCTGGCGTCCAATCATACGCTCCATGACGCAACGTGCACTTGTGAACGGCAAATGTCCGGTTTCGGCCATGGATAACACTGTATTGGTAGACATGGAGCACTCCGTGAGTGGTGTAAAAAGCAGAAACCAGAAATGAGAAGCGGACCTGGAGTCCACCGTCCGAGGTGAACATACGGAACTATAGGAGGACTTTGGTACGCTAGAAGGCGAGGGTATCTATCCCAGAAGCTTGAAGAAAAGAGACGACTGAGATTGTGGTACCATCTACTGATACTCCTTCGAAGATGCCACCTCTCTCATGCTAGTTCTCAAGTATACTGACGAAGCAGAAAAAGGTAGTTTGGGAGAGTATTGACGTTGGGATGTACTCAGGAGTAGACCAATGGGTGAGCCTCTGCAAAAGCTAAAGGCTTGCAGAGCTACTACTTGTCTGTGTGATCGGGAAGGCGTCCATTGGCCGAATGTTTGGACAGAAGATGGAGCAAGTTGAAGTGGGGAGTGAGGTCTTACGAAGATTCTGCCTTGATCGTGAATTCCGCTATATTGATGACGGCCTCCGGCACCTTTGAACGCCAGGCTATGCTACTCATCCCATTTCATCCCTTACTTCCACCTCACTTCGTATCCAAGGCTACTCCTTCTTTCCAGACCAAACTTCGACCCAGTACTCATATCGTCCCTTCCCCACCAAGGCATCCCTTTCGTCCTTCTCCAACTCTAGAAGATCTATCCCTCCCCAGCAGAACAGAGGCGCATCCTTGCTGTACACTTCCTCCAACGTGCAGATGCTTCCATCACACCACTGGAACTGCACACCGTTCTTCAACTCACTCCCATCTCCAGACTTGGCATTTATGAACATGTCCTTGGTTGTATTGATGCTAGGTTTCCAGATATGTCGGATACCGGATCTGGCAGGAGGATTGTAGCCGCCTTTGTCACAGACATGTCGATACGGTGCTTGGTGCGGTATAGCTCTATCTGTCTCGGAGTGTTTGCAACCTAGGTTGTTCTCATAGTTCTTGCAGATGTCTGCTCCTGATCTGTGTTTTTCGGCTGCAGGAGTGCAAAGATATTTCATTCGCGAAACGCTACCGTCACAGTTGAAGAAAGCATTCTCGCTCCAAAAGCACATTTCCGGCAAAATGTGAGGGGTGTAGGAAAACTTTCGTGGTGATTATGCTGTGGTGTGTTGGCTCTGGTACGTGTCGTGATGGGGCAGGGACTGTGTGATACAGGTAGTGATAACTGTTGACAAGTCTGCTTGATTGCTATTGCCGTAGATAAGTTGCTCTCTCTTAGACGGGTGAGGAACTTGAGGATGTGCAAGATGTTTTTATAGTAGCCACAAATTCTGACCACGACTGTTCGGCAAAGCTCGGCAAGGCATTTACATGTACACAGTCTTCCCTATTGTCATGTGACCAGAAAAGTACACATTAAATGAGGACGCCGCTTCATCAAACTTTCCATCAATGTGCCATGCAGGGGACCATTCCACATAACAAGCCTTCGACAGTCCAACAAAGTAAAGATGATTGGAGGCGATAAGTAGTTTGCACCATCGACAAACGAGTATGCCTCTAAGCTACTGTGAAAGGTACTCTCACCACTAGCAGCTTTCTCCAGGTCCCCAGTGATGAGCAAGGATAGAGTGCCCCTCACGTGGTGATAGTAGTGGGGCTTGCCTTTAGCTTTTCCCACCTCTGCTCCACCGCCGATGAATCGGGAATTTGCCGCTTTCAGATACTCACTAGCCTATCCTTCTGTCACAATCCAGGCCAGAATCGTCTTTCAATGTCAAGAACTTCCTCCCATAGCTCTTTGCACTCATCTTGTGCATCTTCAGTCAAAAAGAGCATTTCTTTGTCCATGAGGTCGTTCACAAGCTGCTCTAGCTGCTGTACGAAGGCAGCAAATTCCTGACTAGTCCAGTTGGGTATAAAGTGTTCCCTGAGTGCACCACCATCAGCATCTGAAATGGGGGCTCTTGATATATCGCTCTGCCTTGCTGCAAATTGCCACGCTTCAAGATAGCATCTCTCTGTTGCCCAAAGAACGATCAAGCCATTTAAGAGCACCCAGTCTGCACCATGAGGGTCATCTGGGTTGATAGGGGAGGAAAATCGCTCGAATAGGTTGATATAGTTGGTAGTCGCTATCGCCGGACCGAACGGGGCATCCGTGCTTCTCGCTTCCAGATCAAGTCCGTAGTTCTCTGCAACGTCCTCGAAGAACTTCAGCTCCCGAAAAATATTGTCCAAAGCTGCTCTCAGGGTATGCACAATCCGCCAGTGGACAGAATCGTCATGCTGAGGAAATGGAATGTGCTGAGTTGGCAGTTGCGCATGAGCAAGCAGACTACCAACGAAACCAATATAGGCTTGGGCATATAGTCGATCTTGAGCTAGCCATTCAGAAAGTTTCGCTTTGGTCAGAGTGCCATCACCCGCTGCTACGAGAAAAGCACTCTGCGTTGCTGCTTTGGACAGCTGACTGGAAGTAGACAACAGGAGGGATGTTAGAGACGGAGAAGGGGATTCATTAGACATGAGCCTGCTGTGCTAGAGAAAGCCGGTCAAGAAGGCCTGGAAGACTAATACTTTCGAATGGTGATGGTGAAGATGGACAGAGCAGCTCTAACATCAAAAAGAGGATGACGATCTGACCCCGCACAAGCCGCAGCTTCATAAATTTGACAAATTGAGGGGAAGCGATGTCGTTCAGCCCGTGGCGGTAAGCGTGTTCTCAACCATCCGATTCCATTCATTGAATAAGAGAGAAGTACAAAGCAGATGCCCCTAAATTGGTCCACGTCACCACTCTCAAGACTGGACGTTGTCAGGTTGAATGGCCTCCGGCTCCTTCAGCCCATTGTTGATGTCCTCCAGCTTCCCCTTCAATACCTCCCTTAGCTCGCTGTTCGCAGCATAATAAGCCCGCTCCAAAGCCTCTGAACCACTAATGATCTCCGCCTCGATTTCTCCCCTTCTCTTGAAGAGCTCCATCAGCCGAGTGGTGAAGTCTACGTGAACTGTGGCACTGTAAGACGCGTCAGGAATGCATGGACATTGGCCAAACTTCTGTTGCCGGCTGCCCGACGCAGCTTGATGGTGAAACTCACGACACGTCTACAGCTCTCTCGAATTGCTCATCAACCAGTTTGTCCAGTGCAGCCATGTTCCCATCAAATCTGGCTTGTAGCTGGTTCCTTTTTTCTATTTTGCGTCTATCTCTCTTGATACACCAAAACGTCAACGTACTTCCTTTGCGTTATACTGTATTGCGATTCCGATGTGGAACAGAAAGGCTTTTATGGGATAGTGGATATGGTGCAGACATACCGACTGCTGCATTCTTCTCGAGAGGGTAGCCGGATCAATGTTCTCCTTGTCTTGAGCTGGCATGAGGGCTGTCTTTGTGACCCTTTTGGCTGGCATGATTAATGCAAAGAAGAACTGAGTGCTAGTAGAAAAAAGAGACTCCAATCACAGGATTAGAAGTGATCTGCTAAATGTGCAGAAAAAGGGTGATAAGGACCGAAAAGAGAGAGAGAGAGAGAACAGAGAGGAAATGTAGAGTTGAAGGCCACCGTACGCTTGTAGTGGCACAGAAGTGAAGTCATCAAGCCCTGGAACAATCTAATATTACCACTTCCCTGCCATTGTGTACCATTACACGGTGCTGGGTATTGTAATTATTCGACGATTTCCAGTTCTCCCTGTCTCTCTTGAGCGAACGTATCCTTGTAACTCTCCCATAATCGTTTCAGCTCATCCACATACAGCCGATGTACCTCATCAAGGTATGCCTCATCCACCTTTCCATCTTTCCCACCCTGCTGCACTACTTTCACTGGTCGTCCCACCACAATATTGACTGATCGTCTATATGGCATCAGCCCAACATCATAATTGAAAACACCTCTGGCATGAAATAGTGGGACAGTGAAGCCCATAACCTTTTTAACCAACATCTGAAACTTGTGAATCCAGACATGTTCTTCGCTGTCGACCTGATCATAGAGCTCGTTTTCGCCAAACGCAAGGATTGGAACAAGGTCAGCGCCTACGCGGATCGCAAGTTTCACAAACCCTTTCCTGCTGTTGAGCACAAGGCGGAGGGTATAAGGCTGAGCGTCGAGACTTTCTTTTGCGCCACCAACGACAATGGTGACAGCGCGACCCATACCCGAACCATCAGCACCGCCCTTAGACAACAGATTCTCAATGCTTTCACGGGAAACTGAAGCTAGACCGAGCGCGAGAGCATAATCCCGATAGAATGGCAGACGAAAATTCGAATCCAAGGTCAGCAAGCTGTTTGTAATGCCCGGGTACAGATCAGAGAATCCTAATGCTTCGGTGCCAAAGGCTGCGAATGCACCATGGCTAATAATACCATGCGGATGATAGCCGAAAATGTATTTTCTTGTTGGTTCTAGCTTGACTGTCCGATGCAAGCGTGCAGGAAAGTACGACGCAAACAATGACCATATCTTGCTTCTTCGCAATCTACTTGAGCGTCGAGAAAGAGTTCCCGAAGTTGCCTCGTCGCTGTAGATGAGGATGTATACGAGGTAGGGAATGACCAAGGGCCAGGCTATGGGAATGGCACATAGTGCTAGGAAGATCGTCGTAAGGACTGGTATAGACATTGTGTGCCAGAGCACCACTAGTGTCTGAAGTCGTCGTTGGAGTGGAACATTAAGAGGTGCCCAACGGATGCTGTAGACATTAGCATATTCAAGATCGATCTGAACCGCAGGACTAACGCCGATCGTTCCCATCCTGCACCGGCGCGTCGACCGCTGGCAAGTTTTCCATTATCGGCATCTTCCTTATTTCCTGTTCTCTCCCTTGCCTTCGTCGTGAGTTTCGTATCGTGCTTGCGTCCATCCCCATAGGTCTCATCCGGTTTGATACTTGTCAACTTCTCTCCATTATGGCTAATGTGCTTATTGTAGAGAACACGTCCATCATCGATGTTTTGTTTTAGCTCATTGACCTCTGTAGAGCCATTGACATCATTTAGGCTTGCTGCACCGTTGGCTTGGAATGCCATTCCTCCAGCCGTACCATCACTTCCATTGGCGGTTGCTTCGGCATATGATTTTGGCGGTAAATTATGGTCGGCGCGTTCTTGAGGCGGTGAGGGCTCGGCATTTAGGGGAGCACTGACAGCTGCAGACATGTTGATTGATATTTTCAGTAAAATATGATTTCGATTGTTTCTGTTGCTTTTCCTCGATCCTCGACTCCTGAAGGGATCTCGGAAGAGCCCACAATTAGTGCGCTGCGCGCAACATCATGATGCGAAGTTGGTGGGCTTGAGCATACTGGAAGTATTGGAACAGTAGGATGAACCAGAGGAATAAATGTTTACCGGGCAGACCACTTCGGAACCCCTATGACGTAAGACTTGGTAGGTGTTAGCGTTTGGGAGATGCTCCGTTCCGTCATGTTTCACAGGATTAAGCTCGTACTATGCCCTGCAAAAGACGCTGACAAGAATCTGAATCTGAACAGCAAGCTTGCTGCGCTCTCATCCAGTGTATCCTGGTATTTTAAGAAATCATTCTTCGGATTCTGTTCACACTCTGATAGCCTTTGATGGCTATTGCTCGAAGCTAATGAAGGTCCTAGCTGGGAGAAATAAGGGTGAAGGCAGCGGGACAATCATTCTAAAACTCGAGTTTAGAACAGAAGCATGTACAGTTCCATCTCCACAAGAATAGAGCCCAGTTACAAAGTCTGTCGTCGTACCTGTATCCTCGAACATCGGGACTCTTTAACAATGACCATCCCAGCCTCATGACCATTTGCAAACGTCCCATCTTTTCGAAGAATGCACTCTACAGCTGGGATTTGCATTCTTGACCCATGCACAAATGTGGATGGCAATACCAATCACACATATTAGCTCGCGCGCGCTCTCTCTCCCCCTCCCTCTCCTTCCCTCTCCCTGAATATTCAAAGCATCGCTTCACCTCTCAAGCTTAACAAAGGTGAAGATGAAACCACTAAACTATCATGTACTTACCCAACACCAAGAGCGGCAGGAGCAAAAACGCAACGCCCAAAGTATGTGCGAGGACAGTTTCCAGGATGTGGATGACTAAACAGCCAGTGCCCGTGATCAATTTGAAAATGTCAAATTTTACGCCAGAAAGGTGGATATCTGGAGTTCCCGGATCCTACGCAACAGATTATAGCAATAAGAATCCGAAAAATCAGACGAATGACAAGATCAGCCGAGGATTTGTGAAGGGGTGCTGGTGAGTGTATTTGACCATGTTGACTACGGTCTAGCGGAAAGAGTAATTGCCTCTTCTTGTCCTTTAAGAGGGTGTGGAACCGGATTGATGATTACGACCATTTTGGCAGATTTAGGATATGAAGTGTCCCGAGCATATATAGCCCTACATGAAACAACCTTATAATTCCCTCATCATCTTCTTCTCTGCGCCTTGCAAGAGCATTCGGATTTCAGTAAGAGTCAGAGCGTAGTCTGAGACTGTACTCTAAATATTGAATCGGAGCCCCTCTTTCTGATCTTTGCACTGTTTGGGCCGACTAGTAGCACGCCACTCAACAGCAAGAATTGATAACACAATACGGAATATGCGAGCAGTTATAACAATGGTCCTTTGGGTATCCACCTCTCTGGCGTAAAATGGTCCAATTTATCATTGGCTCACTCAATGCGACTAATGTGGCCTTAAAGCCTTTAAGGTCAAATTTTAGGGATTTCGTTGGTAAAGAGAATAAGCATATATTTCCCGCGCGGTTACCAGCCAATGATAAATTGGACCATTTTACGCCAGAGAGGTGGATACCGGGGCCAGAAAACTTATAACTAACCTGGAGCTACCTGACGATCGCGCGAAAAGAGCCTTTAGAACAACAGCCTTACTACGGGTTTAAAATGAATGGAAAATGTACTGATATATGTTATGCCTAGACCTTTCAACAACTGATAACGTTCTGATACCTAACACGTTCAGGCTGACAAAAGAGCTGACAAGCCTGGCTCTGAGAGAGGGCAGCCTGTAAGAGCGTACTTGAGTACGCATTTCCCTAAGCCAGGCAGGTCTGCAGGGATCACCGCCAAATGGCGAGGCAGTTTGCTACCAAGAAAAGAATTTGCGATGAGTGAGAACATGCGAAATTCAAGGCTGAGGCGCAAGTCCAGGTTGAAAGACGTTGAACATCCTTGCGTCGCTGAGAAAGGGGTTATGCCCATTTCCGTCTGCCTCGGCTCCACAATGAAATCGACAGTGAAACAGATTGCCTCACAATCGTGCTTAGTGCCTAAGCAGTCGCATTGCGGGCATTGGTGCTGTTCCTGTGACTAGTGGTAATCGAGATGCTCGAGCTGCGTCTGCATCAATGTTGCAGATCCATTTTCCTAACCCTTTTCTGAAACTCCTTTGACAGGACTAGGATGTGCGAAAGAAGAACTACAGTACGAATCTATTTAAATTTTATTTTTGCTACAACTATTTAGTCCCTATCTAGAAGACGCTAGTTCCTATTTAGACAGCTTTAGTCATGTGACCTAAATACTGCCACGAGAATTCTCCTTGCGGTTGAACTTAATCGCTTTAATGAATATAGCTCTCGTCTAACTAGCTGATATCTTAACTAGTTTTGCTATTGATCATTAGTTAGGTCCTTGCTGGCTGATTACTAGCAAAATACAATGGGGCTGCCCTCTAAATGACCTTAGCTGAAATCTATCACGAAATCTATCATAAATTTGTGTAAATTTTGGCCAAATTGATTTCATTTTAAGGATCTGAAAAATTCCAGCGACCGCTGCTGGTACTGTAACTTAGTAGTTATTTCAGGTGATAAGGTTCCAACACACCGTGAACCTTGTTCTAAAACAGATGCAGTGTGGAGGGCGCAAATTCCCAAATTCCACAATTCCATGTCTAACTTCCCCATGCAGTAAGCTGACCAGCACTGAATTAAGTGGGTCTTCCATCCTTATGCCATATTGCTCACATCAGTGGAGACTTACTAGTACGTAGTACGAAGGAAGCACGTAGAGAACCGGGCCGATGACAGGGTACAGGTAGTTCAAGCTAGGTAGACCCATATTCCTCAATGTTGCGGATGCCGAAGATCCTACGCGGTGGATTGCTGTCGCGTAACCTAGAATATGGGAACGAATTAGCCGGATGTTGAATCGTAAGAATCCAGTAAGTCATCGTTAGGTAAGGCGTTTGGACAAGCACAAGTACAGAGAATGTGGTCCATCTTCGAGCCGGGAGGCCTCTATCCGGTCCCGAACCATGTCCTCATCGAACCAATGGCCACCGCTTCAATGAAGTTAGTAGGAAAAGGGTCTGCTCTGTAGACTGACACGAGGCTTCGGCATGTGGACAAGAGTGACCGCGTCTGGCCCTTGCCGAACTCCTTGCAGGAGATAGTTAGACCTGGTTCTAGAATGTCCTGAAGCTTGGACCCAAACACTTGATACTAACGAAGCCCTGGAATAGGGATCTCGAGCATGCATACGTAGTATATGCAGCCGAGTTGCTGTCTACAACGTAACAACGATTCATTCTTACCAGGCCGCTTGCGATTGACATTGTAGTACAATACTGTTGGCTGTTTGTCCAGATTCTTGTACGAACACCAGTTATTTTTGTGGACAGAAAGCTAGAACAGCCTGTCACCACACTACTTTAGAGCAAGCTCCCGTCGCAGCTGACATTCTTAATAGGTATCCTGTATTGTCCTTAGTTGCTTTTGAAAACCTGCAACTGTCAGTTTCTGATCTCAATACCTTCGTAATCTCCTTATTTGGTGGTAGTTGTAGTTAGGTATATGCAACGATTCTGGTCAAGGGTATCCAATCATCCTCATCCTTCAACGTATATGTACATTCTACACAAGAACTAAGTAGAAGCATAAACCGCCAACGGTCCCTACCGCAATGCCGCTAGAATGCTCAGTAACCGAATGCACGCATTTTAAATGCAGAGAACGCCGTCCCAGGCCTGTGGACCCCGTTCATGTCCGTAGATGCGGTATCAGATAGTCATGCCGGTCGTGTCCATGTTCCTCGACCAGTCAGAAGTTGACAACTGCAAGAGATATTCTGAAGGTCTTAAGCGCCAGCAATATATCACGCGCTCTTCACCTCCTGGTGTAGGCTAGAACGGCCAGAGCATTAGCAGCATCCTGCTCCGGATTGTCCGTTGGGGATTTCAATTCATCATGAGGCTCACTAGAACTACAATCGGACGACTGCGATGAGGCCAAGGGGGTCTGTATCCGCGGACGACCTCTGAACGAGGCCTTCGGATCATGGGGCGAAGACGGAGTGGGAAAGGGGAGGGTTCGTTGAGTCGGATCGCGTGAGATGTTGGGTACCCGGTCAACAGATTGTAGAGGCGGCAGCGGGCCAAAATGTGCACTAGGATTGTTGGCAAGGAGAGGAATCTGGATGCGCTGCCAGTTTGAGCCCCTTGGTTTATCATCCAGGAGTTGGTAGCGCCAGGGTTCATCCCCCGGCGTTATCGGAGCCGCATTGGAGGTGCCTGACGAATCACTCTGTGCAACCGAAGAACCAGAGCTTTGGTGAAGCAATAGCGGTGGAAACGCTGCTGCTCGAGTGACAGGACCGAAATCCACCGTCGGTGCAATCACATTGGCTGTCAAAGGAGCCAGCGACAACTGACCGGTGCGAGAATGAAGTTCTGGAAGATCACCCCGCGTCTGGTGAGGCACAATGGCCGACGGATTTTGGACGGCTGGAGTAGCTGGTAACCACGACTCACGGTGGTGAGACCTTAGGGCAGGCGAGTCGGTCGATGATAATGATGATATATGTGACATATTTGTGCTCATCCCATATCCCATCATAGTGGGTGGCAGCCCGGCGGTACTTCCTTTAGGTGACGGAAGACCGCTGTCATAGGATGCAGAGCTGACAGAACCAATGGACACATCACGCGTGTGAGCCGTGGAAACTGTCGGTCTCGTTTCCACTGTAATCTCAGTCGGCCTGCCTGAAGCACTCCCAATATTTGAATCCGATTCAAATTTCGGCCGTTTGCCCTCAGCTATGACACTGCTGTGCTTCGCCTTGAAGTCAGCTATATACTGGGCGTACTCCTTGTAGGAATTTGTCTTCTTGTATTTCGCAAGTTCGATGTTGAACTTTTCCTTTGCATCATTGGCCTTTGATTCAAAAGGCTCTTTTCCTTCAGGGCTCAATTTCTGCCATCGATCACCGACAAGCTTTGCGATGTCCGTAAAAGAGAGGTTCTGGTCCCGTACTTCTTCTCGGACATTATTGGAGAATATAACATAGGCTGATGGTGACCTTTCTGGTGCATGTTTGTCTGGTTTAGGATGGCGTCTGTACTTCCGTTTCATCTCAGTGCCCGCTCGTTCATGCTGGCCAGGTGGGTTAGGGGGTTTAGGGGGGGCATCACTGGTCTTCCCAGCTTCAATCGATGTCTCAGTGGTAGGAGACCCATGAGCCCGCTCATAGAGTACACCTCGGTGGTTAGCAATTTCTCGCTGAAGCTTCTAGTTTGCTTGTTAGTACTGTCATGTGACCCTGCAGCTTTTGAACCATACTCTACGATGCCCAAGTTTCACATTGAGCGCGTCTCTGGCCGAGAATTAGTTGAGCGAATTGTGGAGAGTCATGAGATTAATCTTACAAATCTCCCTCTTGGATGTCAAGAACAGTCTCCCAAGTATCGAACCCCTCGACAATGAACGAGTCGAGGTATTGTTCAAGACCCAGTCGAGTTAAAATGACCTCGAGTTCTGTCATTCGAGCGCCGTGACTGGAGAACCAAAGACTCAGGATCGCTTTTGGAGTTGTAAAGATAGACAAAGAGCAAGGTCTTTGGACCTTTGTGTTAGGGTCTTTTGATATTTGCCACGACACCATTGGAAACGGCTCAACAAGTCGAAGATCTCAAAAACAAGAAGGATGGTGTTGCGTCAGAGGTGGACACGAGGGGCCTCTCCACACGCAGAATAGCAAATGGTACAAGGGTCGGTTCCCAATCGGAAAGAGGTAAATAGGAAACAAATTGGGTCGAGGCCGCACTTCTCTGACAGAAGGAAGGGAAGGGTTAAGATGCAGAAAGTGTAAAGGTGGTAAGCGTGGCAGACACAATACCCGCCCGATGACGCCCTGTGTAAAGGATCTCAGAACGTGTACTGGTTAGGAGCAGAGGATATGCGATGGATAGGCGATGTGTAGGGTGGTCAAGTGAGCTTTGCCGAATCCAACGGCAAAAAGATGCGGGCGGAATCTTCTTCCGTAGTTCGAAGCTGGGACATGCAATTCGTAGGGGTTGGGATGGCAAATCATTCCAAAACATGGCTCTTTGACTGATCATTCAGCATGCAACGGTCTGGGCAGAAAGGCAAAATGTGACTGGCAGGCGGGTTGTGCAATCTTGATCGTCAAATCGATTGTGTCAGTACGAGCCGGATGAGAAAATGGCAGGGCAATTGTGTCTAGGCTGCCTATCCGTGCTTTTCTTGGGAACATTTGTATTTGAAAGGTATTGAAAGGTATTGCGCGAGTATATGGCCTCACCAAACAGTGGAGAAATACTGCTTAACCCAGCAAGATTACCCCTATGGTCATTGTTAGCATGGGTCCATACGGAGTACTACGTACGGAGTACTCCTTGGGAGATACTGAAGCTCGTGCCCCATTCAATTGATCCAATTGCGGAGTTTGACAGAATGTAATCCGGTACGTAATATATCATCAGTACGATTGGTCCACTGATACCTTAGTGTGACGCAGGGTGGGGCAATCTGGGCTTTAGTTTCAAGGAATTTGCTGGAGTAAGGGTGTCATGATACGTGTAGCACCAATAGTAGCCTTCTGGGCTTCGACAGATTTGCATGTAGTACAACCATGCTACTACATACTATTCGATGATAGATTGCATGGCAAACGGAGCGGAAAATAGCGTTCGCCTGGATTGGAACAAGAGATATTAAGCGTGACCAGGGAATTTGTGTCGGTCCCAAGCACATTCGAGGATGAACTAACACCGCAAATCTGCCATTGAAATCCCATCGTTGACAGCTAGAACCGGTTCTGCTGGTGTACTCCAACTATTTCGCGATAGTGACCGCAGGCATCGAGCTTTCCGCGCCATGAGATAAGGCATGGCATTGCATTGCATTGCAACACAGCAAGCAGCACTCGCATGTGGGGCTGATTACTACGGGGGGGTCTGAAGTAATGTTAGCTCAGCACTAGTATCTTTACCTGTAAACCCTCTCTATACAGAACAGCTAACGTACCTGACCCAGAAGCGCAACGGG